GAGCAACTATCAACTTTTAGAAGCTAGACACATAATGTAAATATGTATTATACACCTGAGTCTTCAACATAGTCATTTATTATTCTTATTCTGTGAAGGATAAGACAGCAGAATTTTTATAAATAAAAGCATGATTTGTAGCCATATTATAGAATAAATTATCCAGTAATATCTCTTGTTTTGATGTTAAATGGATTTTTTTTCAAATTTAAAAGGAGCTGAAACAATTATTCTTCTGACTCTGAACTGTATAGACTGTATGAAAAATGATATGAGATGGTTTAGGCTTAAATATGCATTTTGATACCCCAAATTAGATGAGCATTGAAAGTTCACTGCACAAAGTGCTTGATCTTTAGAAGGGTAACATCAGATAGTAGATGAGCAAATGCGACTAGTCACAAAGAGGTGGGAAACACAGGCATCTGGATGCTAGTGTTTGTTTTATAACATATGTGTGCTAGGGAGGTCCCTTAGCGTCTTTGAGTATAAGGAATAACTATAAAATGCTTCTGATTTGTGCCTTGTCTGACTTGTAAACTGTTGTGAAAAGTAAATAAAACAGAGGCTATGAATGCAATTTATGAACAGAAGACCATGAAAACATATGTAATATATTCATTCAGGAAACTGAGCTTTCCAGAATCACATTTCATTTAAGTAGGGTGCTTTTTAAGTTTTCAGTAAGATAAGAACATTGGGGATAGTATGTTCTCTTATTTAGTATTTTTGTTGGGGATAGGTCTTCATAAAAGTCCATTTCTTTCAGACTAGGTGGTTTAGAAAAATTAAATATTCGTATTTATACAAACATTAGATAGTAATAAACTTGCCTACTTTAAACTTCCAATAACATTACTCTCATGTTTTTGAAGTGGGCCGAGTAACTAGTTTTGCTTTAGAGCCATTTCGAGCCAGGAATTAGCTGTGAGGAAAACCTGGACACATACCTATATCCTGAGAAAGCAGCGGGAGTAAAAAATATGGATTGGTGCCTTTCCCCGAAGACAAAGGTATCAGTCTGATAATGGTGGATAGAAAAAAATACCAAAACTTTACTTTCTTAGTTTGTTTTGGATTTGTGTGGTATATAGCCCAACATATCTTGTTATAGAATGAATATTTTTTTTTCCTGCTGAGTACTATGACTCGAATCTCCTAAGGCAGACATAATAACATAACATGCTTCTCAATACCTTTGATCCCATTTGATAAAAAACTCAATCTTCAATTTCCCATATTTCTAATAAAAATGCAGCTGCCTCTGCACCAGAGGTTCAGAATTCCGAAAGATCAGGCAGCTGGGAGAAAGCTCTCCAGCAGACTCACTGCTACATCCGTGCTTCGAGGAAGAGGATCTTTGAAAGCAGCAGGACTTATCTGGGTTACTTCAGTTCAATAACTTAGAAAAGTAACATAAGTAAGAACTAAGACTTTAGCTGGGGCTACGTTTTGAAAAGGTATTTTTCTTTAACATCTTCTTTGATTTAATATTTCTACTTACATTCTCAACTGGCTATGTTTGTAAATAGTATATACAGCTGGTGAAGAGTTCTGAGTTCTCGGTGTCAACAAACATCGTCCATAACTAGGCTCTGCCAAGCATTAGGTTAGATATCTTAGACTAAGACTTGATTTCTAATGGTGGAAAACAAAAACGGCTACCTCACAGAGTTAATGACATTGAAATCATGTTTGTAAAGTACTTAATATAGTTTGATGCATGGTATGGATTGAAGTACATCATTGATCAATGTCATAAATAATAATTATATAATTGGTATTATGTAGTAATA